AATTTTTTTGAGGGTGCAAAATGCATATCTTTTACGAAATAAACTTTAAATTCAAGGGTATATGTAATATAGGATTAAAGCGAAAACTTTCTTAAATTTTAGGGTTGCCATAGCCTCCTTACTCAGGCACGCTGTAGTCGCACTCGCACCATTGCCTGGCTGCCCGCTGCTCATATCTCAATCTTTTTTTTTCAAACGAGAAAGAAAAACGAAGCAGGAAATTTCAATAGCTGATATTCTAACAGTTGCCAAATTTAGTATATTAAATTAATTAACTGCCTTTAATGAATCATTCGTCAATATTTGTTGCAAAATTTCCAAAGTGAAGCCATAAAAAAAAATAATAATAAATAAAAAATGCAAACGTAAATTTCAAATTGGTTGAAATTAGCCTAGCTAGTCTTAGGGATAAGCGACCGTCAACCAACCACTCATTTGTCTAAAAGGCTTGTACTACAGCGGGTCCAAAATGGCGACTAGCCTAGCTAGCCGAAGCTCCACTTGCCGTGGAATACGAGACATTCAAGACCTTGTTCATACACACAAGAGTACGTTAAAAAGTTTTTTTTTTTTTTTTTCCCTTAGACTGTTGAGCTTTAGACTTAATAATGGAGTGTGGGCGGGACAGATAGACTTCTTCCCGTCCACAGCTAGGGCCACGAGAATCCCCGCTTCCTTCAGCTTTCTCTTGACTGTCAATTTTTTATGTGGCGTTTACTATTCAATGGAATGTTGCTCTCTCAGCGCTCAGCTGAAAAGACAGGTCTTAAACATGCAGTTGCTTATGATAATTATTTGATTATTTTGTAGTGTTTAAAGGTGGAAGTGCAGGAAAAATGATGAGACTACCAATGGATTACATTTGCATACTTCTTTTTTGCTTCCCTTTGTTGCTGCTTATAGAAACAGCCACAGTCATTGAAACTATAAACACAACTTATTCCGTTAGAGATGGCGATACCATTGTTTCAGCTGATGGAACCTATGAATTAGGATTTTTCAGGCCCGGCAATTCCAAAAGCAGATACTTGGGGATCTGGTTTGGCAGAATATCTGTCCTGACAGCAGTCTGGGTTGCCAACAGAGAAACTCCCCTCAATGATTCGTCAGGCGTTTTAAGGCTTACCAACAAAGGAATTCTTGTCCTTCTCAATCGCAGTGGAAGCATCATTTGGTCTTCCAACACATCTAGATCACCTGTGAGGAATCCAGTTGGGCAACTTCTGAATTCAGGAAACCTTGTTGTGAAGGAGGAGGGTGATGATAACCTGGAAGATTCTTTGTGGCAGAGTTTTGAACATCCAACTGATACATTATTGCCAGAGATGAAGCAGGGATGGAATAGAATCACAGGCATGGACTGGTCATTGACGTCATGGAAGTCACCTGATGATCCTTCAAGAGGCAATATAGTAGATAAGCTTGGTCCTAATGGATATCCTGAGATACTAGTTATGGAGGATTCAAAGGTGAAATATCGGTCTGGGCCATGGAATGGTCTACGATTCAGTGGTACAAATCAATTGAAACAAAATCCTAGATACACGTTTGAATTTGTCTTTAATGAGAACGAGACATTTTACAGATATCATCTTCTCAATAACTCAATGCTTTGGAGGGTTGTGGTAAGTCCAATAGGCGATATCCAGCGCTTCACATGGATTGATCAGACACAGAGTTGGTTGCTTTTTAGCACAGCAAATACTGATAATTGTGAACGTTATGCACAATGTGGTGCAAATGGTATCTGTAGTATTAACAACTCTCCGATGTGTGATTGCTTGTATGGATTTGTACCAAAAATTCAAAGTGATTGGGAAGCCATGGATTGGTCAGGTGGTTGTGTTAGAAGAACTCGGCTAAATTGTTCTGGAGATGGATTTCAAAAGCTCTCTAGTGTGAAGTTGCCTCAGACAAGCACGTCGTGGTTTAACAAGAGCATGAATCTTGAGGAGTGCATGAACACGTGCTTGAAGAACTGCAGCTGCACTGCATATTCAAATTTGGACATCAGGGAAGGAGGAAGTGGTTGCTTGCTCTGGTTTGGCGACCTCGTTGATACTAGGGTATTTAGTCAAAACGAACCCGACATTTATATAAGGATGGCTGCTTCTGAAATAGGTACGAAGTTAACCTCCAGACAAATCAATTTCTGATACTTAGATTGTAATACATTACAGCAAGGTCATGCATTAAGTAGAATAACTGCCTTGGTGGTTTGTTCAGAAACCAAATAGCTCAAGCAAATGATAAGATCAGAACTAAAATACAAGACAAGCAAATCTTCTTCACAATCATTCTAGCCATCTTAACCAGGTTACATGAAACATCTTATGACAAGATGACTGGATTGTCTATCTATGCATGTATCCTGTGTGAGTCTTTGTACATATAGCATCAACATAAGTTATATATCATGAAGCAGAATGAAACTTGTAGCATAGTTCTAACTACTAATTTGCTATGCTTAGAACAGTATAGTTCTAACTAACCGTACAAATATAATCGCAAGTTGGCATTTCCTGTTACTGTCAGTTTACTCCAGTTTATATCTGCCTGTGTGTAGATAATGGTGATAGTGCAAAGGTTAACGCCGAATCCAATGTGAAGAAAAGGATCATAGTAAGCTCTGCGTTGTTTGCGGGAATTCTGCTCCTCTGTCTAGCATTGGTCTTGTATATTCGGAAAAGGAAGCAATGGAGAAACAGTACGTTACTAACTCCATGAAATTCTTACCACTCCCCCTCTCCCTCCCCATCCCTGTAAAGATAGGCAGTTTAATTTATTTTCAAATTGAGTTTTAGTAATCTAAGGCACAACCACCTATCGTTAAGGAGCTCACTATGTTTCAAATCTCAAAGAAACTTGCATACAGCAAATGGAGATCCCTTGTTTCCTTTTTACTCACAGAAGCTTTGCTTGCAGGAAAAATGACTGGTGCTTATGGGAGAAATTCAAATAACAAGCGCAGGAAACAAGATCTAGATTTACCGTTGTTTGATTTGGCTACTTTGGCTTGTGCGACAATGGACTTTTCAGTTGACAATAAACTGGGAGAAGGGGGATTCGGACCTGTTTATAAGGTACTGATCTATACACAATCACATAAATTTTTTATGGTTTCCCAGTTTCGCGATACAACTTACTGGCACCAACGTAGTTCTACAATATAAAACAATGGCCACTGGGGAAGTGTTCCAACTTTAGGACGTCCAACAGAAGCAAGAAGTAATATAGCATTCAGCATCAAACCATGATTCTCAACTTTCAAAAATCAATGTATGTCTTGCTTATGATATTGAGTGATTCTTTGCAGGGAACACTGAAAGATGGACGAGAAATAGCCGTGAAGAGGCTTTCTAAGACTTCGAGACAAGGACTTGATGAGTTTACAAATGAAGTCAACCATATTGTTAAACTTCAGCACCGAAATCTAGTGAAGCTCCTAGGATGCTGCATTGAAGGAGATGAAAAGATGTTGGTCTATGAGTTCTTGCCCAACAAAAGCTTGGACTTCTTTATTTTCGGTTAGGATCGATTAAAACCGTACAAATTTAGTTCATTACTATACTTCATTGTCGTCTTACAGAGAACCAAACCAACTATGTGAGAGTTTGCATTGAGGAGTGGCCAAAAAGTATGTTTCCTAGATCATCAGGAGACACAAATATGACAAGAAATGGGAAATCACAAGCATAAAAAGAAAATCTTTTGAGTTTCCTTCGAAACCCTTCGGAAAATGGCTTGGTCAGGAAGAGCTTTTCACTACTTTCATATCCATGCATGAAATTCATCAATATATTAAGCATGCATTAACTATTTTCCATTTTTCCTTTCTTTCTTTTTTTAATTTCCTTTCATATGTATCTATGAATCTTACAAGAAGCTGAATAAACCGACTTTGGCAGATGAAACGCATAGCTCGCAACTAGACTGGCCTAAGCGCTACAACGTTATCAACGGGATTGCTCGTGGACTCCTGTATCTCCACCAAGATTCAAGACTAAGAGTAATTCATAGAGATTTGAAAACTAGCAATGTATTATTAGATCATGAAATGAACCCAAAAATTTCGGACTTTGGCTTGGCTAGAAGTTTTGGAGGAAATGAAACTGAAGCCAACACAAACAAAGTGGCGGGAACATAGTAAGTGTCTCCTGAGTATGTACTTTACTTCCATTGCTTGCAAACTCGACCTAAACATTTTGGTATACATGCAGTGGCTACATATCCCCAGAATATGCATTTGATGGAGTCTACTCGCTAAAATCAGATGTCTTCAGCTTTGGTGTGTTAGTGCTAGAAATAGTGAGTGGGAACAGGAACAGAGGATTTTATCATCCTGACCACCAACTCAACCTACTTGGACACGTAAGTGTCAAAGTTGAATTTTTTTTTTTTTTTTTTGTTGCTTCTAGATGCCAAATCTTTCTTATGACATGGTTTCATTCATCAGGCTTGGAAGCTGTTTATAGACGGTAGGCCCTTGGAACTGGTTGCGGAATCAATATCTGAAGCATGCGATTTATCTCAAGTGCTACGTTTGATTCACATGGGTCTATTGTGCGTTCAAGAAAATCCAGCAGATAGGCCTAGCATGTCATATGTGGTTTTGATGATGGGAAATGAAGATGCTTTGCCCCAGCCTAAACAACCAGGCTTTTTTACCGAAAGGGATCTGATAGAAGTGACTTATTCATCAAGCCAAAGCAAACCATATTCAGCTAATGAATGCTCGATTTCATTGCTAGAGGCAAGATAGATTATGCTTTGTGTTTGTGCTTGTGATCCGCGTTTTCCCTGCCCATCGTGAGCTTTATTTAACTATTAAACTATTTGTGGCAAAAAGTAGAAAATTCTTGGAACCGTCACTGCGTGTAGTATTATTAAAGTATAAGGGTCCAAGTAGATTATTAAAACCAGATAATATATCAGATGTCTTACGTGTGTTGTTGCTAGAAATAGTGAGTGGGAACTGGAACTGTGGATTTTCTCATCAGACCACCACCTCAATCTTCTTGGGCACGTAAGTCTCGAAGTAGGAACCTTTTATAATTTCTATATGCCATTTCTCTTTCTAATGACATAGTTGCACTCATCAGGCTTGGATACTGTTTACCGAAGGCAAGCCATTGGAATTGGTTGTGGAATCAATAATTGAATCATGCAATCTCTCTGAATTGATACGTTCGATTCACATCGCTCTATTGTGTGTGCAAGAAGATCCAGCAGATAGGCCAAGCATGTCGTGTGTGGTTTTGATGTTGGGAAATGAAGAGACCTTGCCTCAGCCTAAACAACCTGGCTTTTTTACTGACAGGGATCTGATAGAAGTGGCTTATTCATCTAACAAATGCTCGATTTCATTGTTAGAGGCAAGATAGATTACCTTTTGCGCTTGATACTTTGTGTTTTGATGCTGTACGTGTTCCTGGTTACTATAGCTGCTTCCGAGTCTTTTATAGTTTCTTAATAAATGTATGCATTTTTGGAACTCATAACTTGATATTTCAAAGCGTTCTCAACCAATATTCTTCGTAACTTTTCTATTTTGTGTTCTTATTCTTAGTTAGTAGACATAATTCAACTACATACGAAAACTACAAAACAACAAAGAGTGTAAAATATATGACTTGCATATAATGCCACCACTAGAAGTTAACTAAGCAGTTGTACGTAAAACATTATTATTCTCTTGCAGTAACAAAAAGAACCCGTGAAATGTGAAGACATTAATGGAACTTGTAGTTGTTTACCTTCAAGGTGGGACATCAATTTGTTGAGCCGATTCCTTTCTGGGTTGCTTTCTTTATTCCTAACCACAGTAAAATGATATTCTTCATTAGGAAGTTATGGGCTTCTTATGCTAAAGAGAGACCAAATACTTTGGGCCTGTTGGGGGTCAGGAAGTGGACAGGGCCTGTCAAGATGGGTATGAAAAATCAATTGTTGTCCTAAAATGTCCTTCACTTCTGTCAAGATTTTCCTGATGCATATGGAATAAGTGGAGTTGACTCAGTGCTAATGAACCTGTAAAGTCAAGCGACCAATTAAGTTCCTCCAGCCATTCTCTTTACTATCAATTTTGCTTGTTATTATCATCTAGAAATACAGCTCACTGGTGTTTACCTCTAATAAATGGAATAATGCTGTTCGCAGTTTTTTGCAAAGCATTTTTTTACATCTATGCTTGCTCGCCATGAAAACAATAAGAGTAGCGATGCGCTGCTTTCCCATACTTCTATTTTGCTTCTCTTTCTTGTTAATTATCGAGACATCCACTGCAATTGACACCATAAATACAACTCGGTATGCTAGAGACGGGGATACCATTGTCTCAGCTGATGGAATCTATGAATTAGGATTTTTCAGCCCAGGCAAATCAACAAAGCGGTACCTGGGGATATGGTATAGCAAAATATCTGTCCAGACTGCAGTTTGGGTTGCGAACAGAGAAACTCCGCTTAATGATTCATCAGGAGTACTTTTAAGGCTTACCAACCAAGGAATTCTTGTCCTTCTCAATCGGAGAATGAGCGTGGTATGGTCTTCTAACATATCGAGGCCTGCGAGGAATCCAGTTGCACAGCTTTTGGATTCAGGAAACCTTGTTGTGAGAGAGGAGGGAGATGATAACCTGGAAAATTCCTTGTGGCAGAGTTTTGAGCATCCAGGCGATACATTCATGCCAGACTTGAAGCAAGGACGGAATAGAGTAACAGGCATGGACTGGTACATGACGTCATGGAAGTCACCTGATGATCCTTCCAGAAGTAATATTACATATATACTTGTTCCGTACGGATATCCTGAGATACTAGTGATGGAGGATTCGAGGGTGAAGTATCGGTCTGGGCCATGGAATGGTATGCGGTTCAGTGGGACGCCTCATTTAAAACCAAATCCCATATACACATTTGGATTTGTTTTTAATGAGAAGGAGATATTTTACAGATATCATTGTCTTAAAGCTCTACACTTTTTAGGGTCGTGGTAAGTCAGAATGGGAGATATCCAGAACTTAGCTTGGATTGATCAAACTCAAAGTTGGCTGCTTTATGGCACAGCCAATACAGATAATTGTGAACGGTACGCACTATGCGGTGCGAATGGCATCTGTAGTATTAACAATTCTCCTATTTGTGATTGCTTAAATGGATTTGTACCGAAAATTCAAGAAGACTGGGATGGAATGGATTGGTCAAATGGTTGTGTTAGAAGGATTCCACTAAATTGTTCTGGAGATGGGTTTCGAAAGCTGTCTGGTCTCAAGTTGCCTGAGACAAAAACATCATGGTTCAACAAGAGTATGAATCTTGAGGAGTGCAAGAACACATGCTTGAAGAACTGCAGCTGCACTGCATATCCAAATTTGGACGTCAGGGATGGAGGAAGTGGTTGCTTGCTCTGGTTTGGTGACCTGACCGACAGTAGAATTTTCATTGAAAATGAGCCAGACATTCATATACGGATGGCTGCATCAGAACTAGGTATGAATTTATCCTCAGACTAGAAAAGGAAGTCAGTATCTGTTACAGATCTGTTCTAGTAACCTTTAGTACGATAATATATTAAAATTGACTCCCAAAATGATATGTTCATGCCACCTAATTAACAATTACAATGGCCAGTTTGGCATTAACTGTCTTTTAAATCCAGCTTTCTCTGCTACGGTGCAGACGATGGTGATGCTGTGAAGATTAATACTAAATCCATTGTGAAGAAAAGGATCTTTGTAAGCACTGCATTGTCGACAGGAGCTCTGGTACTTTGTATAGCCGTGGTCCTGTATGTTTGGAGAAGGAAGCAGCAGAAAAACAGTATGTTATTCTTACTATGAAAGTCTAAGCTCTTCTATCCCCCTACTTCAATCTAAGACAAGGCAGATTAGTTAATTTTCAAATTGATTTTATCTATGGTACATTATATTTAAGGTCTTCAATAAATTTGAGTTTAATGGAAGTTAATGATCCCTTGTTTCTTTTCTATTCATACCAATTATGCTTGCAGGAAACATAACAGGTGGTTCGAGAAGAAGTTCAAATAACAAGCAAAAGAAAGAAGCTCTGGAATTACCATTGTTTGATTTGGATACCATGGCTTGTGTAACCAGAAACTTTTCAGACGAAAATAAACTGGGAGAAGGGGGCTTTGGACTTGTTTATAAGGTACGAATCTGGGAAAGAGTAATGCTGATTCTTGAAGGCTTCGAAATTTCTTTGTACAATCAACTGCCACCAGGAGTAGTTCTGTGATATTAATTTCTTTGGAACTATTCAACCCCAAAACTAACCCTTTTCAAGTGTAAAACAATGACCATTTGATCAATTACAGATTAGTACCTTATAAGAGACAAGAGTAGTATTCTCAAATTTTACAAGACAATTTATGACTCGATTTGCTTGTGATATTGACTGATCAATTACAGGGAACTTTGAAAGATGGACGAGAAATAGCTGCGAAGAGGCTCGATCTCTATGAGTTCGAGACAAGGACTTGATGAGTTCACAAATGAAGTCAAGCATATTGTGAAGCTTCAGCATCGGAATCTAGTGAAGCTTCTAGGATGCTGCATTGAAGGAGAGGAAAAGATGTTGATCTACGAGTTTTTGCCTAACAAAAGCTTGGACTTCTTCATTTTCGATTAGGATTTCTCAACCTGCAAAAATATAGTTTAATTATTAGAATAGATTGTTGTCAATGTCATTATGCGAACACCAAAACCAACTTTGTGTGAGAATGATAGATCAACTGGAAACAGAGTTATGAGGAGAAAGTGGCAACCAAAAGCACCAAAAACAAACATTTGTTGAGTTTCCTTCATGGCCCTTCGGAAAATGGCTTGTTGAGGAGTATTCTTCACTTTCTCTGTGAGGAATTCATCGAGCGTTCATCATTTGTTGAGTTTCCTTCACGGTCCTTAGTAAAATGGCAACCAAATAAACCAAAAATAAACATTAGTTGAGTTTCCTTCAAGGTCCTTAGTAAAATGGCTTGGTGAGGAGGAGTATTCTTCACTTTCTTTGTGAGGAATTCATCGACCGTTCATCATGCATCATCTTTTTTCTTGTTCTTGCATATACATTTATGAATTGATAAAACCAGAATGGATTGGCTTGGTCGAAAAATTGGCAGATGAAACAAAATGCTTACTTCTAGATTGGCCTAAGCGCTACCACATTATCAACGGGATTGCTCGTGGACTCCTATACCTTCACCAAGATTCAAGACTAAGAGTAATTCATAGAGATCTGAAAGCCAGCAATATTCTATTAGATTACGAGATGAATCAAAAAAATTTCAGACTTCGGCCTGGCTAGAAGTTTTGGAGAAAATGAAACTGAAGCCAATACCATTAAAGTGGCTGGTACATAGTAAGTATATCAAGCATATCTAATTTATTTCAGCTGCTCGCAAATGCAATCTAACACTAACAGTCTACGTATAAATACAGTGGCTACATATCCCCAGAGTATGCAAATCCTGGACGCTACTCGCTAAAATCAGATGTCTTCAGCTTCGGTGTATTGTTGCTAGAGATAGTAAGTGGACACAGGAACCGAGGATTCTGCCATCCAGGCCACCAACTCAACCTTCTCGGGCATGCAAGTGTCATAGTTGTTGCATTTTCTAATTTTTTGAAACCACACTTCTTTCGCATGACATGGTTAAATTTCAATTATCAGGCTTGGAGACTGTTTATTGAAGGCAGGCAAGTGGAACTGGTTGCGAAATTAATATTTGAAACCTGCAAATTATCTGAAGTGTTACGTTCGATTCACGTAGGTCTGTTATGTGTGCAAGAAAATGCAAAAGATAGGCCAAACATGTCACATGTGGTTTTGATGCTGGTTAATGAAGATGAATTGCCTCGGCCAAAACATCCAGGTTTTTTCACTGAAAAGGGATGTTATTGAAGCAAGTCATTAATCTAGTCAGAGCAAACCATATTCAGCTAACGAATGCTGGATCTCACTGTTAGAGGCTCGGTAGATTATTTTTTGTGTTGGATATCTTGTGTCTACACTGTATTCATAGAAACTTTTAGTTGCTTCTAGTCTTTTTTTTTTTTTTTTTTCCGCATTAAAATAACTAGTATGGTATCCCATGTCATCAATAGCAAGTCTATTATATAATCTGTTTTAAATTTTAAATAATTTAAAAATCTATGTGTAAAATAAAAATTAATTAACACTAATGATAGAATTTGTTTAATTTAATATTTAATTTAAAAAATATATTTTATAATTAATTTTAAATATATCCGAGGAATATTTTTTATTTTGATAAAAAATACAGTTATTTATTTATTTTTTTAAAAAATTAAATTAGAATAAGGCGTTAAATCAATTTAAATTAAAAGAATGCTTAATTTTAGTTAATG